CCCCCCCCCCCCCCCCCCAATTTAAATATAACATCAATTTAATACAATGGTGGAGTCACCTTTAACCACATAAGATGCATGTATATAAGGCCAAAGTCTTAGCTGCGAAAGTTTAACCTAATTGGAATCCCATTCTCCACGGACATTAATTTGTTGGAAAATACGCCAAACTCTTTTCATGTGGGTGCAGATGTGGTCCATTTCGGATAAAGATGCCAATTGCCACGTATCCAACTTAAGTAGCTTTATACGCCAGCTTAATCATTATCATCCTTGTGTCATGTATCATCAAACCTCACACTATATTTTTAATCAATTGGTATCTAGCTCACTTGATGAGAATAAGCATGTTCCAGATGGAATTATATATTGATTTCTGCAAACAAAAATATAAAAATGCATGTATTCAGTTACAGCTTCACTAGCTAAATTAACTTTGAAAAGAATATGGGAAAGCTTTGAAAAGAAGATAAAGGAGGATAAATCTTGCAACAATATCATATAATAAAACTTACATTGAATCACGATATTCATTGAACAATTGAGCTTCCATTTTCATTGATCTGAATGTGGGAATCAATTAATCTAGAACTTGATGGTTGGAAACAGATACGTATACGTTGATGGGAATCCAACTATAGAGAAATTCCAACATCTGCGGAGAACCTGAGCAGGCCCAGAACACCAGTTTCTTTGGAATACTATCTAGCCGCACATTGTTTCCACATGACCCTACCCTACCCATTAGTAACTCAACCATGGTTGAATTTATATAATAGAAAATTATGTACGAGTAACGTTGTCATTCTAAAGTTATATATATAAATAAAGAAAAGTGAACAAGGCTAGGGTTGGTTGATTAATTGATGATGCATGTTCCCACACTCACTTTATATATACCACATGCCTAACTCAGCTTCCTTCCTCCATGTATATAAAACCTGCATCCTCACTTTATATATACTGTCCTAGTATAGTTGATTGATGATATATATATATATATATATAGAGAGAGAGAGAGAGAAAGATTATTATTATGTGTGGGGAAGTGTGAGTTAGAAAGGATAAAAGAAAAAGATGAGTTGCAATGGTTGTCGTGTCCTCCGAAAGGGTTGCAGTGAGGAATGCATGCTACGACATTGCCTACAATGGATAGAGAATCCACAAGGGCAGGCTCACGCCACCCTCTTCGTCGCCAAGTTCTTCGGCCGTGCCGCTCTCATGTCTTTCCTTTCCTCCGTACCCGCCAACCAAAGATCCGGTATTTATGCAACCCAACCCTTTATAAACACCATGCATCAAAAACGAAAAACCATATAATACACGAGTTTCTTTTAGTTTTCTTGAGACATTTCCAATGGTACGATCCTTAAAAACATCTAATGGCTTCTATTACTTTCTCACAATTCTTAAGAACAGTCAAGAAACATTGCTTATATAAGTAACTATTCTTATATAATAACTGTCAGGTTAATTGTTCCAATGGTAAAACTGATTCTTAAGGTTAAGAACTCTGTAAACAACTTACATAGGAGATGCTCTTGTATCACTAATCTTTCAAATAGCAAGCTAAAGATGGTAATCTTCATTAGATCATAATATTATATGTCAACCAGTCCCATATGAACTATTAGAGTTTGGTAAAAGATTTGGATTAATATGCACATACTTTTAGCATATTAATAATATCTCGTATGTACGTATGTAGTTATATTTTTAGCATGCAAGAACTAATAATATCTCGTGCAAAATTGTGACTAGCTATAAGTGCTACATACATATAAGAAATTCATCTGTCTGGTGATCTATGATTGATATGAATAAGTAGCATATATAATTGATGAATGAGGAGGTGTGGTGTATTTAGTTATTATTTGTGTCTATGAAGAAGTTTGGAAAGTTGTGACTTGTGGTGTGTGGCACTATACTTGCAGCTTTGTTTCAGTCACTGCTTTATGAGGCAGTGGGGCGTACTATAAATCCAGTGAATGGAGCAGTGGGGCTGTTGTGGACTGGGAACTGGCACCTCTGCCAAATGGGTGTGGAGAAAGTGCTCCGAGGTGGTGCTTCGTTGACCCCACTACCTCACTTCTTGGGTGCACATCAACAAAACCAAGTAACGGATGTGGAGACAGTGATGCTTGGAGGTGCAACATGTCACCAGCTAAAGAAGCCACGTGTGGGGACACGGACACCTTCTGAGGAATCCGAGACCTCCACGTTGAGAAGTAGAGCAGAGGATTGTGCTCCTCATGCTCAAAGTCAAAGGAAGCTCCTTCCACTATTCTTCTGACTTCTCGTTAGTAGCTAAAAGCTTCTTGTTTATATTCTCTTATTATTGGATGAGTATCTACCATGACAATACATGGACAAACTTAGGTTTAGAATTTAAATATGAAATATTGTTTTTACTTTCTTATTTTCCTTCTTACACTTTCTCAGCCATGAACTAGCTAATCCGGTATTGTTCGTCTTTATTTCATGATAAGAATGATGTGAAAAATAAATTTTATAACTCATGAATACGTTATTAGATATGAGTTTTGCCACCCACAGTCATATCTTCAAATAGAATTGTTTCCGTAAAAGATATTTGTTTTCAATACCAAAAATAAAAAATAAAATAAAATAATAAGTAACTAGATACTAAATCAGCAACATTTCACTAACTTAAACGTTGTAGAGTCTTTATTGCTGTTGTGCATTTGCTGCTGTCTTTCTCCGCCATGCTTTGCCCATCAAAAATAACCTTAGAACCTGTATCCTCCTCAATTTAGAGATCTGAATATATAACTTTGGCTCTCTTCCTCAGTTTCCTGTGTGCATTATCTCTAAATATTCTTATCATTACTCTGTTGGTTTCTTGACTTAAATGCTTGAGTTTATGGTGAGTGTTCTACTTCTCTCTTAAAAGTCTGCGCGCTTCTTTAAGAAAACCATAACATTAGGAAAATATTTCTCGATCACAAAATTAGGACAACAAAATATTATTCTTCTGATTTCGTGATATATTTTTTAGAGTTTATTTACCATTAAAAAAATTGCACTCTTCTGATAATGTAAAAAAACTTTTACATTGAATATTCTAGTTAAAATCTTTTTGATATACGTAAAGATAAAAAAAAATAAAATAAAAGCAGAAGATAAAAACAAATGTATTTAGTATAAGTGTCAAAATTTCTATATTCAAAATTTGAAACACTAACTTTAATAGCACAAATTTCAGAATCTTTTTTTTTTTTTTTCTTTCATTTTCCCCCCGGTGCACTTCCTACTTCGGATTATTACATATTATATACATGAAGAGAAGGAAAAGTTATACATGATTGTAATTAGAAGGATTCTTCTCGGGTTAATCCTTGATTATCTTTGATGCTCTGCACGGCCCTCTGAGGCTTCGGTTGCATTTGATGCATCTTTCCTTGCAACTGCAGTCAGTCACTGATAGAGTAGTTAAAGCACTATACCAAAAAGGAAGCAACGCTCCAAGAACTCATGCAGGAACGGACCTAAACTTTTAAAGATGATAATTGAATTAAATAATTAATAAACTGAACAAGACAAGGTTCTGCATTTATGAACAGAGGAAGACATGTCGAATGTTAATCACACTATTTTCAAATATTAAAATTCATTCCGAAATAGTATAGTATATCACCTCTTTTTGAATCTTTTTATAATTCCCCTCATCAGCAGCACCGTATGAGATTTCAGAATTCTGTCGTTCAACATGGAGAGAGCCCTCCCTCATGGGGTCAACATGCTAAATTATTATTGGCAATAAGAACAAAATTATATAAGATAAAATGCCAAATGCATGAAAGAAGATACATCTCACGTTTATGACTGAAATAAAACAAGAAAATTCAGTCCTACTAATTAAAATTTAAATACAGACATGCCAACAGTTTCCAAGTGCACTAGAAAAAGAAATCCCCTTACACCAACAGGACTTGAGCGGTTGAGCCCTTCATGAAATATCCTGCTGTATTAACGCTATCTATCTCCACATTGTGTCACTGAAAGTGTAGATGGTTGTGACCGAGTTGGTGAGTATCCCCATCCAACTGAGTCTGAGTTTCAATGATACTCCCCACTAATCATTGAAACTGAAGTGTATAAAGGATGTCTTGATTCTGTAACTGACAATGAAACTGGATGATTACCAAAGATATTCTTTTGCATACAAGTCTGCATAAAAGAACAGATCAAATTAAAGAAATTTTATTTCTAATGAGGATAAAATAGACAAGGAAAATAACTCTGGCCGCAAAGAAAAGTATCGTCCCAAAAGGAAAAACAAATGAATGAATATGCGCATTTAAATAATCAAAAAATGCAACTTTTCTGCAGCAATAGCCAACAATTTACCACAATAATCATAGATAAGTGGTACAGTATAAAATATAAATATTGACTCATTCACTCTCCAATTAATAAAATTAGACATGATGTCTTGAATTAGTTTTCCAGAATCATAACTCTTTTACATCATCTCTTCCATGGTTACTATGAATGAAGTTGACAAAAATTAGATGGACACTTTCTTATAAGTTATTGAAATTATGATTCGGCTACTGAAAAATCAAGTATATATATTACAGAAATAAATAACAAAAATTAATTTCCAGAAAAATTTGGATTCATATGAGCTGATGGAAGTTTTCCTCATGTCATCTGTTAACGTAGCAAACTATACTATTCTTTCAGGTATTGATTTTGTTGTAAGGTGAAAAAGGTATCACCAGTAATCTAGACAAGAACAACTGCCATCCTTAAAATGGTGAAACCGATTTCGATCTCTAACTATAATATCTCTTTGATATGCCGATGATATTAGCTTGGTAATAGTATGGCAATCCCCACAAACTCTCAGGTTTTTTATAATTCTTATAGGCAAACTTGAAGAAGATGATATTAGTGCAAACGCTATAGCTAGCCTTTCGCTGTGGTAAGAGAGGAAATCTTCCTTATCTTCTTCTTCTACATCAAACAAAACTTCTGATGTTTTTGGCTTGTGACCATATTCTTGTAGCCTTCTATTTATCTCCCCGATCTTCAAACATATTTCTTTTGAAAATGGATGAGCTTTATCACCTGTGAGAAACTCATGCATGGCACCATTAATCTCCACCAAGCTAAATCCAGGCAATTTGTCAACCCCACGATCTTTCATCAGCATCCTCACTCTCTTCACATCATTCCACCTAGCAATGCTAGCATACATGTTAGACAGAAGAACATAGTTTCCACTTGTTTCTGGTTCTAGCTCTATTAAGTGTTTGAGAGCAGCTTCCCCCATCTCTAAGTTGCCATGAAGTCTTGCTGCTCCAAGTAAAGACCTCCACAAAATTGCGTTCGGTTTCATGGGCATATCTTGTAACCTCTCCTCTGCCTCCTTTAATCTCCCAGCTCGGCCAAGAAGATCAATTAGGCATCCATAATGCTCAAGTTTTGGCTCCATCCCATGGATCCCCTTCATTGACTCAAAAATCTCCAGGCCCTCCTCTACCAATCCACCATGAGAGCAGGCAAACATAGTAACTACAAAAGTTGCACCATCCGGAACTATGCCCTCAAGTTTCATCTTTCTATACAGTTCAAGTGCCTGATTACCATGACCATGAACTGCAAACCCCCCAATCATGGCATTGTAGCAAAATGTGTCCCTGTCAAACAGCTGATCAAACAATTGACAGGCTAGATTCAGACAGCCACATTTGGAATACATATCCACCAGCGCAGTTCCCACAAAACGATTCAGTTTAAGATTGTTCCTTAAAACATAACCATGTGCCCACGCACCCTGACTAAGTGCACCTAGATTAGAACATGCACTAATCAATGCCACAAGTGTAACTTCATTAGGCCTTATCTGAGACAACTGCATGTTACTGAACAAATACAATGCCTCTAAGGACATATCAGCATCTTCAAAACTGGTGGAGTAACTAATATGACTTGCACTTTGTGCATAGGCAGACAACATGGTATTCCATGTAGCAAGGTCAGGTTCACTAATTTGATTGAACAGATATCTTGACACACACAATTTTCCATATTTAGCATAGAAATTGAGCAACGAAGCTTGGACAAAGTGATCATAAGGGGGGTGAAGGAATTTCAAAACATGGGTATGGAGAGGAGGACCGTGTTGGAGCCATGGATCAGAGCCACAAGCCTTGAAGAGGGAGGGAAAAGTGAAGCTATTGGGTTGGAGGGTCTTGTGGGTGAGAATCCGGTTATAAAGTGAGAAGGCTAGATGAATTTGGTCACTCTGACGAGTCAATGAAGAAATGAGTGTATTGTAGAGGAAAACTGTTGGGCTTGGGATACAATTAAAGATGGTAAGAGCATAGGTTGAGTCAAATTTGGAGGATGTGTTAAGGAGGTGACTGAGATAGTATGTCTGGAATGAATGACCAGTTGTTACCATTTGAGCATGGGCTTGCTTAAGGGTGTTGAGGCTGTCGCATTTTTGCAACTTTTGGAGAAATGGATGGTTCAACATGAGGCTTTTGGATTTCATGAAATCAACTTATAAAGTTGATATGACCAACCCAAACCAAACTCACCACATAGCATTAGTTGTTATTCTAAGCAAGAAAATGGGAAAATACTATCATAACTCCCCCAAGATAATGAAGAAAAGAAGATAACATGGAAAAACACGACAAGACTAATCATTTATATCACTTCCATGCACTAACACGATGACGACACAGTTTAAAGAACCCATTTCCATCACAAATTTACATTAAAAAAAATACACAAAATGCAAAAGTATGTGAGCACTCATAATTGATCAGAAGTGTCTGCATACCCAGCTAGCGAATGGAACATGATTGTGCAAACCGAATAGAGGGTTTTGGAAAGAGAAACTATAAGGCGGGAACTGGGAAGGGGGGAAAGGAAAAGAGCGAAACTATGCGACATTTGCAGAACAGCGTTGTATTGATGAGTAAAATCCAATTGGGTATGGTATGATACAGAAAATTCGGTTGGGTTTGGAAATAGAAAATTGAAGTAAAGAGCGTCATGATGAAGACGACACAAGATAGATTCAATGAAATGATTGGTTTTTTTTTTTTTGGCCTTGTTTAGAATAGGTGCAATAAGATAAACTCCATGGGCCGGGTTAGGTAGATGGGCTGTTGTCTCCTTAGAGTGTGGGATGTTACTATCCACACCTTCTGCCCCAATTATTATTTAAACTCTTTTGAAAATTGTTTTTTACAAAAATATCTTTCACACACCCACAAAATAACAATATTTTTTTTTACAAAAATATCTTCATGACTAGAATGACTAAAAAAAATTAAAATATTTCTTTTTCTTTATAATTTTACTTATTCTACTTTTTAGTTCTTCTAGTTTTAAAATAGATATTTAGTCTTTATATTTACATTTTTAATTTTTTTAATTTTTATAGTTTAAGGTAAATATTTTTAGTCTCATATATTTGTAATTTTTTTAATCATTTTAATATCTATTTGTTAATTTTTTTTATAATATTATCTCTTTTGTATTAATATGACAAATATATTAATTTAATTTTGTGTAGATGTTGAATATACTTTGTTAGAGTTATTTTAAATTAAATTTTTGACTTTTTATGCATCTTTATGGTTTCACTTGCAATGACCATTGTTTAAGACATACTTTTTTTTACCCTTACAAAATTTAAGACTTTTACCACGTTAACACAATAGACAACAATACAAAAAAAAATTATTATATGGACAATGTTAACACAATAGGAAAAGTTTTAATGTCTCTTTTATATGGACTAAAGGGATTACAAAATTGCAAATATAGAAACTAAAAGCATGTCTTAAATTATAGAAATTAAAAATAATTGAAAAAAATAAATATAAGAATAAAATATCTATTTCAAACTATAAGAACTAAAAGGTAAAATAAGTATAAAAAAAAATTAGAAATAAAATTTTAATATGATTGTCTTATATAAAGATATAAACAATATTTTCTCAAAATTTTACAAATTATAAATTAATTACTAATTGATTATATTTTAAAAATATATTAAAAAAGAGTTTAATTATAATATTTTTGAACTAGGGACTTAATTAAAAAATTTGAAAAAGTTAAGAGGCATTAAAACTTCATCTAAATGTTTAATTTGAAAAGTTGAAGAAAATAATTAATATATGTGGAGTTGAGGGAAAAAGAGGGGCGGGGGTAGTTTTAAAAATTGATTAGGTCAGCGGCCTGTGTAACATTTATCCATTTTTGAAGCTTTTTCGTTCGCACTTCCCACTTCCCTCTTCCCTCTTCCCTCTTCCCTCTTCCCACCGCTATACTTTCAATTTCAAATTTCAACAGATGGCATCTGCGCTTCCCCCCGCCACGGGGCGAGAGTTGTCGAATCCTCCGTCGGACGGCATCAGCAACCTGCGGTTCTCGAATCACAGCGATCACTTACTTGTGTCCTCATGGGACAAGGTATCATTTCTCTTTCGCACTTTTCATTCACTTGCTATCTATGCATTCATTCACTCACTATTTGGATCCTTCGCTTCAGAGCGTGCGTTTGTACGATGCCAGCGCCAATGTGTTGAGAGGAGAGTTCATGCACTCTGGTCCTGTCCTCGATTGCTGCTTCCACGACGATTCCTCCGGCTTCAGTGCCGCCGCCGACAACACTGTTAGA